CTGAAACTTTAGGAGGGATGTTTCCTGTCCAAGTACAACTTAAGTATTTTAAATTCAGGCTTGAGTTATTTATGGTTTTTACGTATGGGCACTTAAAATTTTAGTTGAATATCTGACTGAGCAACTAGGCTACTTTTAAAGAACGATCGTTAAATGAAAATTGTACATCTACTTTATGCAATATTTGGGGTGATTTAATCTAGTGATTGCAAAAGGTAGGTGTAAAGCAACAACCATTCATGCAATTAATGACCTGAGTACATCAAGTCCGATGCAAAAACGCATGATCGCACGGGCCCGTCCGGTGCGTTCCAGCCCGGGTTTAACGTGAAAAATTAGCACATTATTGGGGACAAAACTTCATTCGATTTTCCGCATCTCACTCAAAGAACACTAACACTTTCAAAATTTAAATTTTGCAAAAATAACCAAATATAAATTTTGCAGAAAAAAAAATTTTACAAAAATTGACGTTTTTTCTGGAAAAAAATGCGGCTTCGATCTGATTCCACTTTTTTATTGCAGTACTTGAAAATAGGGCAATATTGGTGGAGTGCTTGGTTAATAGCAAATTTATTGCTGCAATCAGCTCATCGATGGACCATCGGTGGAACGCTACTCGAAAAGAATGTTTTCGGTAACTTCCTATATCAACTCGACAGTCTAGCATCGTTGGCAATCGGTTCCGCATGGCTTGCATTCCCAAAATGGTTGCTACATCGACAGGTATACTTGGAGACAGGCTTTTTTTTCAGTATACCAACAGGCTTTTTTTCATGAAGGTACTGACATGGTATTTGTCCGGATCGCAGCACTTGTCCGACTTAATTTGCACCATCCGGTATACATTTAGTGCGGGCTTAAGAAGAGCTTGTGCAAATAAGCTTTATCCAAAAAAAAAAGCCGCGGGCTAGCATGTGCCAAAAATGAAGAAGCTAGTGGTAACCACCGGCAACGAGGTGGATTGCGTTTAGCTAATACGTTAGTCAAGTTCATTGTTGATAGCGATTATCCATGATTTAGTCGTTCGATCGCAGTTAAAGATGTCCAGTTGATGGTTCATTGTTGGTTCTTTCTGGTTAGGCATTAATGAGGCCGGAGGTTGCATAGCACTGCAGTAACATTCATAAAGCGGATAATGACGAATTTTAGGATTTCCCGAAAATCCCTCGAAATCCCTTCCCTTACAGGGATTTGCGAGCAATTCTAAAGTTTATGTATGGCTAATTATTGGCAGGTTGGGAGGGCATCGCATGGTAATTAAAAGATAATGGAGGGTGGAGAAAAATTTGAAATG